CAGCACAGGCAGGCGTATGTCCAATCAGGTGTAGCTCGGTGTTTGGAGCTGTCAGTCATCTGTCACCACTGTTTAGTGGCTCACACATCATGTGTTTGGTACTGTGAAGCACGGTGACCTTCACCTGTAAAACGGGAACAGCGATGGGGAGACGCATGCTGTTGCTGTAATGATGCGTTAGTGTGGTGGGAGAAAATCATGCAGGGATATTTGGAGTATTGAGAAATACAAATTTATTTTGAAAGGTTGAAGAAGCACAAAAATATTTTTAAACTTCAAGACTCGGGCGTATGCAGTGATGTTAATCCTTGCATGTGTGTGTGTTTTTTGCGTATCACCTGGTGTCTTGTGGTTTTTGTTTATCTAAAGGCTGTTTTTGTTCCATTTGGATAAAAAGATGAAACTTTGAGAATTGAGTTTAACTTATAGCTTTGTTACATCATGTAAAATCGCTGAATATTCGAGCAGATAATCTTATGAGTGGACAAAAGTTGGTAATTATTTAAGTGTTTGCTTGTTCTGCAGGTGGGGTGGATCTTCACGGACCTGCTGTCTGAGGATACGAGGATAGGCACCGTCCGCTACTCGAGAAACAGCGTGAGGATCCATCTGACTCAAAGATGATCTGTTAGTCTGAATTGTGGTGTTTTCCTCTGCGTATCCTTAATGGCCTTACTTGTGTTAGGACTCGTATTACCTGAGCGCGGAGGAGTGCATCACAGCGGGATACTTCCAGAATGAACATTCAAACCCCTGCAGACTTTCTCGAGACGGACACTTTGGATCCAAATTTGTGACTGTGGTCGCGACAGGTTGGTACTGTTTCTTTTCTTGTGAGTGGTTTATGAATGAGAAACAGGGAACATTTTCTTCATTACTTTATCAATGCAGGCATGGTTGCTTGATCATAAACCACAAAAAAGCATCTCTTCCCAAAATGTCCTTTTGGCTTTAACAATGGGAACACAATGGCATCAAATCCTCACGTCACACCCCAACTTGTCGTTAACATGGAAAATTATGTAGTGAAAAGCAGAAGGGGGTCGATGTCCTCTTATCTGCTGAACTTATAAACACACTGGACAATTATGCAAGTAGATAACCTTTTTTTTTGGTCGTAAATCTACCACACCTGTAGAAAAATACTTCAGGTAAAGGTGGGCACACAGCAACTCATGCAAATGGATTTTTATTTCGTATTTGTATGTTTTTCAAATAGCAGAGCCCTTTATTTTTGAGTTGTTTCCGTCAGAGCCAGTAGCGTACTGCAGTTTGGGGGAAGTCGTAAAGTTTAATCATTTCTTTTTGTTTGTATCTGCTGTCGGTTATAGACCTTAGAAAAACATTCAGTATCTGCAGGTCACACTTCAGCAGGCTAAAAAAAGTGATTTGGTGCAACTCTGGGTATAGTTAGTGGTTCAATCACAGATAGTTCAAACCTAGAAACCTGCTTCACAATTTATTTGGGTCAGTCTAATACAGGGTGTCCAACTCCAGGCCTCGAGGGTCGGTGTCCTGCAGGTTTTAGATGTGTCCTTGATCCAACACAGCTGATTTAAATGGCTAAATGACCTCAACATGTGTCTCGAAGTTCTCCAGAGGCCTGGTAATGAACTAATTTGATTCAGGTGTGCTGACTCTGGGTGAGATCTAAAACCTGCAGGACACCGGCCCTTGAGGCCTGGAGTTCCCCACCCCTGATCTAAACAGACTTAAATCATTCATTAATCTGCACATCCCAGAATGCAACACTCAGCATGTTGTAGCCTCTCCTTTCATATATCCATAGAACTCTTACAATCTTAAAGAAAACTGGTTTAGGTGTTCAGTTTACAGCTTTACTGTAAGGTCTGTCAAGTGTTAAACTACGACTTAAAACATGTGCGTCCATTTGAAGCCAGAGGAGCGTTGTGCAGGATCAGGGATGAATGTTTTCGCCCCCTTTTGTATTTGTTCCAAGAAAACACCCAGCAGTGACCTCAACACTTTTATTTGCATGAGTGAGGCCTCGGCAGCCAAAGCTGATGTCATGGCTACACATCTCGCAGCGAGCAGGGGCGAAGTCCATCTGTTTTACTGTTTGTAAATCACTTCCATGTGTAATGCTGAACAGACTTTACACACTATAGTGTTATTGCAGTGTGCATGATTTCCCTGTTGATATTTTTAACTTCTCATCAGGTTGTCTTTGCTTGTTAAGATTGACTTTATTCTGGCTTTGTCAAAGATTACATTTTGTGGTAAACTAATCAGCTTATTTATATATTAGTGGATGAATAGAAAGATATTTAAGGAGAACTTAAACAGCTCAAAATCGCTTTGTTTAGTTCAGCTTGAGCTGCTAAGGTGACTAAAAAGTAGAGCATTCAGTCAGCAACATCTACTGAGAAAGGGTGAAACGCTTAAGGTTCTCAGGGGAACCTGTGGATTATTGATGGTTGGCTTATCTCAGGATCCCTGATCACCTGATCCACTTTATACAGCACATCACATGTCACTGCTGTCTCTGGCTCTCTTGATAGTCTTGTGGTTGCTGCACAGCTCTCCTAACGTGGGCCTTTGTTAGTGACTGGCAGTTGCTTTTGCAAGACTAGTTTTAAAATCATCACCATCCCTAATTTATTTGCAATGGAAATAATATTTTTGTTTTTCGGCGAGTGTTTATTATTTATTTATTTATATTTCTCTGTGATGTTTTATGTGCAGGTGGTCCAGATAACCAGGTGCACTTTGAAGGATATCAGGTGTCCAATCAGTGCATGGCTCTGGTGAGAGACGAGTGCCTACTGCCCTGCAAAGACGTTCCCGAGCTGGGCTACGCTAAAGAGTCGAGCCCTGAGCAGTACGTACCAGACGTCTTCTATAAGGTGAGGTGCCGTATAAAAAAAGCTCTGATGTGATGAAGTGTGCACGTTTAAGAAAAAAATAAATATTAGGTACTTATTTTGGGGTTAGATGTTACTTATCAGCTCATCCAGATGTTGAGATTGATTTGTCTGATTTTCACATCCAACAGGACAAAGACAAATTTGGAAATGATGTCACGTTTCTAGCTCGACCTCTTCCCGTGGAGTATCTTATTATAGATGTGAGT